TAGGTGTTGCGAACGACTAAAACCAGCCATATTGCACGCATAAATCGGGGGAGAACGTAAGACGGGGAAAGAGGTGTGGATTTTTCTTGCTTTCTTGCATTGTGCGCGACGCGCACGTGAGAACGCGTTGGCATCAGCGATAAGACTACCATCGTTTCAACTGAAATGCAAAAAATGAAAAAAAAAAAAAAAAAGAAAAGAAACGAAAAAAGAAACTAACACGACTGGAGAGAATCCTCCCTGAATGCTTTGGGAATGAATCTCAAGAGCACACTCTCTGACGTATGTTGTTTCGTCTCGTCTTGTGTCTTGTGTTAACTAACTAACTAATCGTTGCAAATCGGGGATGGAAGTGGGAATAACACGAGTCTTGATTGGGTTGTCACACGGTAGATTCGATGACTTTTTATCGAGACACCCTCCTTTGCATGAACCTGTTTGCTCTTAATCTCGGTGATTCTCTACTTTTGAGAAAGATTTTGCCCATGTACATATACTTGTGTGTCAGTACTTTGGGGTCAGTTGTTTGACTAACTCAACACGACTAATCAACGTTTGCCCGCTTCAGCCGAGTGAGTGTCACAGTCAGTCACTCGACTAGAAAGTTCATTTGTCTTTTACCATGTGATTGACAGTTGTATAAATGATGCATTTGTACGAATTTGCATACGCAATTGAGACTGTCGTTGAAAATTGAACTGTTCGGAGTATCATCCAATTCTAACAATTCGTACACTACGCTATTTGGAACGTTACAATTTTGGAGATTGCGTTCGCACAATTATTCCCTGTATATGTATATATGTAGAACTGTTATATGTCGGTACGATACACGAAAAATGTATATATATATACGAGTGTAGCAACATCGAAAAGACAAGTTACCATTCGAAAGATAAGTATCATCAATAATCGGTATATCGTGTAAAGGTGTGATGATAGAAGGGAGGCATGCATCGTGGAAATCATTAATAATTATTATTATTAATAGCTGTGATAATCGTAGTGCTTCTGTTGGTTTATGTTTCTCGCTTTTATTATATATGAGTCCTCTTCTATCGCTTTTGCCCGTCATATGTCTCTCTTACGTCCCAACCGTGATAGCGTATCGCTTTTACGTAGCATGCTCCCTAGACGCCCAGAATAAATGAAACCCAATCTGAGACCATGGTGCATAGCGAACCACTGTGATCTGAATCGAACACATTGGACAAGAGAATGATCGCGCGTGCTCGGCTGTTCCCTCGCTCCCCCCCTATTTTGTAATTGTACGTTAGTGCTGGCCAAGTTGAACGAAGAATGTTCCAGGTTTCTCTGCCCAGCTCTAGTGGAGGAAACTTTGAACGTTCGGTGACAGAGACACTGGTGGAACAAGGAACACAGCATCCAAATAACCGAGGAAACGTGATGATGCGCCATGTCTTTGAATTGTTGTCTCGGCGAGGACAAAACTGAAACGAATCCGGTGAAGACAATCTTGCAATTATCGGAAACTGTGGGAAATGTTCGAGGAGATCATGATTCAAAGATTGATTTGCGAGGGATTTCTAGATATTGGTGAACAAGTTGTTGAAGGATCATAGCGAGTTGGAACACAGTTTGTGTTGGTCACACGTTTATTTGGATGCTGTGGTTATGTAGAGTCTCCAGTGAAAGAAATGAATAATCACAGCCCCCTTGGTGGATATATATATATATTATATTGTTAGTCGTTTCTCTCTCACTTGATGATATCTTAGATATACCAGTATATTATATATTAGACCTAGCCGTTGCATGACTGAAGACCCTTCTCCGACGTCTACGTACTTGTTTGTGTAAATGACTGATCGACAATGAAAAAAACAATCGGCGTCCCGATGATTCACCATCACTCGCCTCTCTCACGATATTATACATTGCCTAAATATATATATATATATATATATATATATATATATATATATATATATAACATGTATTTGTAATAGCTGCGTTTTCTGTTTGGTGTAAGGGATCTTAGTTCGCTCGCTTGAACCGAGTTCAAGTTCCATGAGCTCTCGGTTCTGAATTACTCTCACACAGTTGACAAATTCGGACTAACTAGACCACATACTTGTCGTTGAAATAAGTGGTAACTTTTGCGCTTAGCGCTTTACTTGTAATCACTCTGCTCTCTCGCTGGAGCTGTTACAACTCTGTTTTTTTCAACAATTGTTAACTATTTATCTGTCTCTCTCTCTCTCTCTCTCTTTCTTTCTTTCTTTCTTTCCTTCATTCTGTTTTCTTTTTTTTTCTGTCTGTAACATCTGTATGTCTATATATATTATGTCTCTCCTGTCTGTCTCTCTCTCTCTCTCTCTTTTCCTCTATCTGGTTTCGTTCTTGTACTTTCTCTGCCCCCATCTTTATCCATTACACGCACGGAGCCGAACTTTCTCCTTCTGAACCGGTTTTTTTCATTCTCTCTGCATCTGTTTCTCTCTGTCCGCTTAGGCTGCGCCTCCCAATTCGCAAGCTGCTTGCGAGTTGGGACCAGCAATTTGTTCGCTGCTCTCTCGCGTCGAGCGCACTAACAATACTAAACAAGCCAAAAAAAAAAAAAAGAAAAAAGAATTCAAAAAATAATCACTTAACGGAATATGGTTGTTACCGATGCAGGATGATATATAACACATTATCATGGGGTGCTTCTCTGCGGTGGTCGTCCTGGATATAACACTGTGCTAACGATCACCGGGAAGAATGCATCATAACAGACATCATGGGGTCTATCTTACACGTTTTTTTTTTTTTTTTTTTTTTTTTTTTTTTTNAAAATTTTTTTCCAAAAAAAAAAAAAAAAACAAAAAAAAAAAAAAACCAACCTACTACTTTGATTATAGACCATGTGTTGTAACAGGGATCGAGTGATGAAGAATTGGTTTCATGTTTTTTAAAAACAGATGGGGCCGCGGCCAGCCGGATGATATCGGTGCGATCAATCTCGGAGATGAGAAATTCGACCCTGACTCGGATAAAAAGCCGCGCGCAGGACAAATTCTATGGATCCGTGGTCTAACACGACTACAAACACAGGTAACTATCCCTATCTCTCACTCTCATGCCATCACTCGAAGTCAGCGTTCTCTCGGGTTCCCCGCCCCCCTCCGCCCCTCCCCCGTCCACCCCTCGAGATATATTAAAATAAAAAAAATAAAAATAAAAAAAAAAACAGTGTTCGAACAGTGTCGTCGTCGCAGAACAGTGTCTCGTTGTCGTCGTCTGCCGGAGGAGTAACACGGAGAAAAAGACGGCGAACGACACGAAGCGAGATTGGTTCACCACGGGACGACTTATTGTTGTTGTTGTTATTGTTGTTGTGTTGTTACAAATATGAGAGAAACTCGCGTTATTTTCTCTCTCTTTCTCTCTCTCTCTCTCTCTCTCGAATGGATCGACGAGTCTCCAGCCGTCGTATCCTGGCAGCGCCGATCTTCCTGGCGTTGCGCGCTGTGCTTTCAGCGTTCCATTGTTTTTTTTTTGTTTTTTTTCGACAACCACGTGTATCTTATTACGCGGTCGACTGTGTCATAACAACGCCCAACGGATTCCGTCGCCATCATCGCCAGCAACAAAACGATATCGTTGTCCTTCTTTTGTTTCATTTTTACTTATTTATTTATTTATTTATTTATTTACGTTTCTTTTTGTTCTTCAAATACTCACGACATTGCAGATTGCGTGTGCGCAGATCGGTGGGAGGGAGGTCAGAGATTGGACGAAGGAATTTTCAATTTTGACTTTTGCCCGTCCACGTTCGAGGAAACGAAGCTAGACAAGCTTCTCCTAATTTCTGTAGAAGGAGGAAAAGAAGGAGGACAGGATCTCCGAATACTTTTTTTCAATTTTGGGATTTTTGATTTTTGGAAGAAGCGCTCACTGGTGCAGTGGTGTGATCTGCGCACACGTACAATCTCTCAGAAAGTGTGTATATATATATAATATAATATAATATAATATATTATAATTACAATATTATAATATTATATTATATATAATTACAATATTATAATATTATATTATAATACAAATTACAATATTATAATATATTATATTATATAAATATAATATATATATTATACATATATATATATATATATATATATACGCGTATACGTATATTTATATATGGAATATACGTATTCTTTTTTTTTATGTTATTTCTCTCATCTGATTATTTCTTTCTCGAGGCCGTTGTTTACCTTGGTTTGCATTTTCATTTGAGTTCTTCGCCGTGTTACCTTCGACGATGCGTACCTTGCGTTCTTTTTTTTTTTTCTTTCTTTCTTTCTTTTTTTCTTACCCTCCTGATACCGTCTCGCGTTTGCTATACACGCAGAAAGAAAGAAAGCTCGACGATTTAACCGAACCGCTGCTTTTCTCGCCCCTTGTGTGTCTACGTCGAGGTTCTGGAAATCTGACTCCGATCTGGTTGATCGTTTCCTCTGTTTCACTATTTTTCACTGTTTTCAGTGACGTTGAAATCTTTTACATTGGTGTTCTTCCGAAGTTCTCTACTATAGATTTGTTATCCACAACCCTTTATAAGGAAGGAAGATGAAAGTTAGTGTACGCGGAGCTACGTTGTCTTTTCCTATACATAGAAAATCTATAGATGAAAATTTGATTGTTTCCCAAGAGAGAAATACAATTTAAACGTGTTTGCTCGTGTCCCCTTTTCAGAACAGGTCTTATCGAGTGTCGGGACTTATAAAGGGTTAAGAAAACGTTTCTAACTTTCTCTTTTCGAAGAGGAACATCTTCAAAAAAAAAAAAAAAAAAAACTGAGAGATATACCGCGTTTTCCCTTACGCGAAGCGTGTATCATCTTTTGATCAGAAGATGAATCTGGTTCCCTTTCAAACAGCAGATTCCTTTCTTTCCCGAGACTCGTGTTCGAAGAGGTTAAATCGAGGCACGGAGGACGAGCAGGGACGATTGGATCCCTCGATTGATTTCTCAAGAATGTATATATCTACTTGAGGGGGGTCTCTCCCCGATCTCTCCGCCATCTTATTGGCCATTTTCCTATTTTTGTCAAGCCAAGAAAAAGTTTCCAGTTGCAGACAGAAATTGAACCAAGTCGGGCACCAAGTAGCGATTTCAGAGAATTTTGCCAGTGAATGACAATAGGCCCAGGGAGCCTGATACGAGTAAGACGTAGAGACGGCTACACGGTAGACAGACCCAAGATCTCTTCAGCTTGTGTGTCAGCCCTCGGTGATCATTGCCTGATTTGGGATCCGTAGAACCTCCCAAGCAAGTAGGAAGATTTTACCCAGCTAGCCGCCAGTTTGCTCAGCGTAGAACCACAGATCTGAACCTCTTGTTTGTCTAGCACCAAAGCATTTAGTGTTCAAACAGTTGCCCGCCAGTCTCGTTGCGTCACGTTCAAGATAGACCAGACCATAGTTGTATTCCTGGTGTCAGGAATGGTCATAAAACTGAAGTGGAACAACAAGTGCCTTTGAATTGCTTTCTAGCTCCTCCTAGCGGAGGATTCAGTTCAAAGGGTTCTGATCAAGGTACACAGTAGTGGAGAATTCTGATTAAGGAACATCTAGGTTAAAAGAAAAGAAAAGAGAAGAAGATTTGTTAAGAAGTTTTTGACATGGTATTTCCTTTTTTTTTTTTTTTTTTTTTTCTTTTTAACACTGGGAACCAGGGTCGAGCTCCTCTCGAAGGAGAAACAGAGGGCTCAACTGGGAGATACTACAGACTCTTTTGTTAATTTAACGATACGGGGGGGTTGGAGAATCGCTCAACGATTTTGAAGACCTTTTTCTTTATAGGAATCGATATGCTCGAGCGAGAGTCGGAAAGGACGAGCAAAAAAAAACAGCCCTTCATCGACGAAAAACGTCTCTCGTGCTTTTTTTTCCCCCACCCCCGTTTTCACGTTTCCTTTTCGGTTTCGTTTCATATCTCCTCGTCAGTCCAGTGGGGGGAAAGAAAGGGGTTAAGCCTGATGAAGCTAGCGCATAACTTTGACCAAAACCACCGCGGCTCGCGACGGCGTGAAACGTGTTTTCGATCGCCGTCGCGATGTGTTTGTTAAATCACTCACACTCTTCGTTTCGTTGGAAACGGTGTCTCTTGGCTATGTGACGTGGAAGACGGGAGAAACCATCTCGTCTTCGAAGTTAGAAACACCCGACGATGGAACACGATCGCATAGTCCAAGGAGTAAAAAGAAAAAAAGTTATTATTGAAAGAAAATTTAATTTCCAAACCTCGGTTCTATGTGTACATACTTTCTTTGATTCTGTTAACTTACACCTCGCTTTCTCTCTTCGTTTCCTTCTCTTCTTACACTCTGAGGCGACAGTAGCTCGCGTAGAGCCCGCGAGAGAACAGTTTTGTTGTTTCGCGAGGCGAGTTGTCACGCACATCTACACGATATAAGTATATAATCGTTGTGTAAATAATTGTAAAGTAAGATCTCGCGCATCTTTCTCGCTAAGGAAAAGGTATCGTTGAAACAAACAGACAAGCGAAACGAAAGAAAACAAAAACAAAAAAAAAAAGACACAAACTTACTATAGACACCCACTCGATTAAGCTAATTATGTAAATTGAATATGTAACCTACTTTCAGACGAGCAATAGAACTCTGGTGCAGAATGTATCTGTGACAGGCAGATCCCCCTCTCAGGATTACTATATGGTTAGTCCGCAAGTCCAATCTCCGCACTGTTTTGACCGTTCTTAAATATTAATTCTTTATTATGATTGACCATTTGATCTTTTCTTTTTTTTCTTTCTTTTTTTTCTCTCTCTCTCTCTCTCTCTGTTCTTTTCCTCTTTGGTTTCTCTTGTATTAACTTAACTCGAGTTTGAGTTTCTCTTCTTACTTGGTTGCTTTTCTGTTTTTGACGTTGTTTGGTTTTTTTCCTGTCTTTACCCACGCCTATTCTTTCTTTCTTTTCTTTCTTTCTATCTCTCTTTAACAACATTTTTAACATTCGAGGCTTACTCTTTGATTTTCATTCTGTCTAATTGGCCTTGGAAATTGATTATATTCTGTAATTAATCATCTGCTTCTTTTCCGTTTGAGAACTCGTTTCAATTTTTCGTTCACGATTTTTCTTTTCTCCTTTTTTTTTTTTTCTCGGTTTTGTTGAGTCTCAGTTCTTCTGATTGTCTGCGTTCTCCAACGTGTATCTTTCTCGCCTGTTTTTCTCTTTCTCTCTCTTTCTATATTTCATTTTGTCGCAGTACTGCTTGCGAGTCGCCGCGAGCTTCTACTCGCTTCTTCCGCGCAGATCGTGCTATTTTTTTTTTCTTTTCTTCTGTTTTCTGTTAATTTAGTTTATTTTCCAACGCAACGAGATGGTACACACGACTCGTTGGTTGTTCCTCTTGTCCCCCTGTTTTGCGCTGTTATTTCTTTCTAACCATTCTGCCTCCTTGTTCCTTTCTCCAGCCAGATTAAAGTCCACCTGTTTTGTTTCAGTCAAGATTCTCAGCGTCGATCGCTCGAAGAGAAGAACGCATTCCTCAACCAACAACTCCAGCCCCCTAACCTCAGTGTTCAATTTTCCTCACAAGTATCTTAATAGTATGATATTCAAGGGACTACTGAGTAAATTTCCTTAATATCTTGCAACTAATTGAAAAACATTGATATCTAATGTCTCTAATGTTTCCAGACATTGGATGTAACAGAATGACAATGTATAACAGGAAGAATATTTTCTGTCTAACGATCTTGTGCTTGATCCTGATACAGTTTGCGGTTACAAAGTACAGAACTTTGTCAGGGATCAGCAGCTGTTGATTAGACAAAACATGCTCTTGTCATTGTCATTTTAAAGATTTTTATACATTGTAAAAAAGATAGTGTATATAGTAGCGTAAAGATAAAGATGAACAATCACTATGATTTAATACTCAATTTATATACACATATATATATATAAAACAGTGTGATAATTTTCCTTTTTAAATACAGTAGCCTCCAGTCTCTTCTCATCAAGCTGAAAAATATTGAAGAAAGAGTTACAATTCTCATGTTCTACTTATCTATCCAAATA